TTTTTTTATAATTTCTTTATGATTTTTGTATGATTATTTATGATTTTTATAATCTTTTTTTATTTTTACTATTCCATGATTATTTTTTAAGATTCTGTGATTCTATAATTTTTTTTATGTTTGTTTTTGTGATTCTTTTTAGGGTTTTTATGATCTTTTTTGATTTTATTATGATTTTTTTTTATTTTTATGATTTTTATAATCTTTTTTTATTTTTAAGATTGTTTTATGATTTTTTTATACTTTTTTCAATATTCTTTTTTATGTTGTCATGATTCTTTTTATGATTTCTTTTAGTATTCTTTTTTTATGATTCTATGATTCTTTTATGTTTTTTTTATATGACTTTTTTATTCACTTTATGATTCTTTTTTATGAGTCTGTTTTATGATTCTGATTCTATTTTTTCTTTTCTAAGCATCTTTTTATGATTATATTTACTATTCCATGATTATTTTTTAGGATTTTGTGATTCTATGATTCTTTTAATGATTCCTTTTTTGATTCCTTTTAATATTATTTTTTTATTGGTTCTTTTATGATCCTATGATTAATTTCTGATTTTTTATATAAATCTTTTTTTATACTTTCTATTATTTTTTTTATGATTGTTTTTTATAATTCTTTTATATTAATTATTATGACTTTTTATAATTTTTTATGATGTTTTATGATTTTTAATGATTTTTTGATTTTTTAAGAATGTTTTATAATTTCTTTTATTATCCTAAGAATATTTTGTGATTTTTTTTATACTTTTTATGATTCTCTTTTATAATTCTGTTTTATGATTAAATATATGATTACATGATTCTATTTTTTCTGTGAATCTTTTTGTGATTCTTTTTTATGAAACTGTTTTATAATACTTTTATGATTTTTTCTACGATTCTTTTTTATAATACTTTTTATGATTCATTTTATGATGTTTCTTATGATTCTTTTTTTGATTATTTCATGATTTTTTATTATTTTTTGATTGTTTTATGTTTTAATATGAATAATTTTAATAATTCTTTTTTATGATTCTTCTTTATTCTCTTATATCTGACCTTTTAAATAAAATGGCTTCTTCTTTAAACATAATTTTACAAATCTTCTAAATTATTCTTACGAGTAGCTTTTCATTTAAGGAGGTCCTTTCGCCACACCTCTCGCCTCAAATGTTAAAAAAAAAGTTATTAGATTATGACTAAAATTATTTTTTTTCTAATAGTTGAAGTCCTTATTTATCTAATACTGAACTTTTAACTATACCTTACCTTGCAAATTTTTGAGAATTTTTTTTTTAAATGTGAGTATTTTACAGTGCCTCACGAGAAAGTAAGTCCTCAACAACAATTTTCGAATTATACTATTATTTATTGATTAGATGGAGTAGAAAAAAACTAAAAATAAGGTTTTTGAAATATTTAGATTTTGTTTTATGCAATAAAATATATATAGTAAACCGTGGAACTTATTGAGAAATTAATATTAAAAAATCACAAAAAATTTTCAAGTAACCTAGTTGAAATTTTTTTGTGATTTTTTAATAATAATTTCTCAATAAATTCCACGGTAACCTATATATTTTATTGTAAAAAACAAAACCTAAATATTTCAAAAACCTTATTTTTAGTTTTTTTCTACTCCATCTAATCAATAAATAATAGTAAAATTAATTATAATTCGAAAATTGTTGTTGAAGTCTTACTTTCTCATAAGATACTGTACAAACACAAACATTTTTAAAAAAAAATTTTCTCAAAAATTTGCACGGTAAGGTATAGTTAAAAGTTCACTATTAGATAAATAAGGACATCTACTATTAGAAAAAAATTAATTTTAGTCATAATCTAATATTTTTTATTTAACATTGGTGGGCGAAAGGACCTCCTTAAGTTAAATCATACATTTTATTGTGAATTTTTTACTTATAAAAGAAAGGCTCCTAAAATTGGTGGCTATATCGCAATGAAAAATCAGTTATTATGTTTTCTTTTAGACCTTTATTTATTAATTTATTTATTTACTAATTTATTTAGTTATACATTTTTTACTAGTATTAAATTTAGAGGAATACATAAAAAACATCATAAAATAAAAATAATATAATAAGTATACTCGATCGTTTGGCAGCTGCTCTACTGACATATTGAACCTTTTTAATTTTGGCAAAATCAGTTGTATCAATCGTAACTGCTTTTCTCAGAAGACATTTATCAATTTGACTAACACTCAATGCGGTATGAGGCTATTTATAAAATTTAAACACCTGTTAAAATTCGTTATAAATAGCTCTTAGAATTCCTAGTAGTCGAGTCAAAACAGAATTAATTCTTTCATCCATCTCTTCTGGAAGCTTTTGGAATTCAAGGAACAACCACCTTCGTCAAGATAGTCTGTGAAATAGCACAGGAGATTATTCCGAAAAGAACTTTTCTAGAATTATCGATTTAAAATTTTGACCAGATTGTAAGTTATTTTTTGTATTTTAAATACAATGACAGTTATAACAATCAAATATAAAATGATGATTCTACTAGTCATGAACATCTTCTAAAGGATAATAGAAAATAAATCTTAAATATAATATTTATCAAATATAAAAGTAAACTTTTGATATGTTAGGTCTGGTAAGAGACAAGTCTTGTTAGACTTTCTTAGGCAGCTGTAACCTTTTGGAGAATAAAAATTTAATGTTTTAATAAGATATTCAAAAGTTCTTGGAATTGTTGTTAACAGAAACCTGCAAAAAATATATTATTTTAGTCCTAAAATATAAGATATCACATTCATATAATATAATTGTGCTAGAACAATAAGAATAAAAAGAATTTTTTGATCGTCCGAAATAAAATAAGGCCTCTCAAGGGTTATTTGCAAAAGTTTTTACATTGAATATTATTGGAGCCCATATCACTTACGGTAACAATAACGTTCAGTCCAATATTCCTTAACTTTTTAATATCATCAAAAACTATATACTTTAACTCTAAACCAGGGCATGTACTATTGTAAAAAAAATAACTCAAAGGTTGCTTCTAATTAGAAAAAATTCCCCTGACCAACAAGACGGTGACTGTTCTTGCTGGTTTAAATACTCTTTTCCCATTGCCGGGATTTTCCACGCCTACAACATAATCCGCACTACGGTTAAAAAAAATTGCCTTTATGCTTATTTCATCCACACACAGTACACAATATTTGTCCATTTCATTAGAATTGACAGCTTTTGAACACATTGGAGACTTCCAAACCTGGTGGGATGTCTATTCCACGTAATAAGCTTATAAGGGATTGCGGCCCAGACAGGCAAAATAATTTAGTTAGAAGTGTTTTATAAACCTTTGGGCCAGAGAAATATGGTGATAAACACTTAAATTTAAATTCGTCCGAATAACTTCGACCTTTAGCTGATTTCATGCTTTGGGTAATCTGAACATTAATAAATTCTACGAGTTCTGTGGATGGGCGCAGTGAATACGTACAAGTTTTGTACTGTTCGAGAGTGATCGTGTCCTCCAATTTTTCTTGAAGATTGTTACATTTATTAAGAAAGACCTGGTTGTCTCTTTTCAACGCGTTGTTCTCACATTTCAGGGCATTGTTGATTTCCCTTAGTTTTTCCTTTCTTGGGCTTCAAAAAGTTAGTTTCTCTGATGTTTGAACACTCCGTGAAGGAAAACATATAGGAGATCGCTGAATCGATTCTGCCTTATTGGAAGAGTTGCCAATGGTTGAAGCTGATGGTTCCAAAAGCTGATATAAAATACTCGTACATGGCACTTGAGAGGTTTCAGTGCTAGAAGTCGATGTACTTGAAACTGCCTCGTCAATGATGCCACTTGAAACGAATTTGAGTGGAACAGCATCTTTTCGCAGTATTCGTCTCTTTCCTTTTTGGAACATCCGTGGAGAAAAATGAACATCACAAATTCTATAGCTCTTGTGAAGTGTCGACTTTGTATAATAATCTGGTCTATAACACGCTAAGAGCCAAGATTTCGCCTTGAAAAAAGATAAATAAATTAATTAACAAAAATATCGTGTACTTACTATTTTTTGTGCCCCAACTTGCCTCCGCCTCACGGTAGCAACTGGAAAAATCTGGCTGTCTTCATGTTGAAGACCAGCAGTTTCTATTCCTTTGAATGGTTTGGAGTGTTCAGTTTCACTTGTTTGGATGAACCCCCACTTCATTTGTTAAAATTTAACCACATTTTCGGTGTGGTTCTTTTATTTTCAATTATCCAAGCTACAAGCTATGGTGGTGACTTGGGACTGGTCTGTTGCTGTCCTTTTTAATTTAGTGCATTTTTCATGTTTCTTCTATAGTTTTTGACGAAGTCTCTGATGATGGCCTAATAGGCCGAAAGCGCTTAGACAAATTTTTGCAGAGTTTTATTAATAAAACTCAATTTACACACTTTAAATACTCTCGATTCATTTCTAATTAACAAATGTTTACATAACTAAATTTTACAGTATTTTGAAGGATCACTGTAATTTTTTAATCCAAAACTGGTAAACTCTAAATGAAATAGTTTTCGAGCCGTACCACCGGTACTACAAAAGTTCATTGGTCGTCAAGGACGACGCAAAACGCAGTTGCAGACCTGGGAATTCTTCTCACGTCCGGCACCGTCCTGATGATGACTAATTCTTCGCTGGTAGGTACTGGCTTTGCCGCCATTTGACAGAACGTTTTCTTCTTGTTCGTTTCTTTTTCACTCTCGCTAACGATCTCCAAGAAGCTATTTTTATCCTTCAAGTTGAAGGAGTAAATTCCATAGTTAAACACTTTATTTGATGGATCACTTTTTTCGATTGGTAGAGTTTAGGAGTTAGTTTCGCTTAAATATAAATTGGGTTGAGTCTCAATTTTTTTACTAATATAATTTACGATGAGAAGTGAAATGAACATTTTTTTGCAAAGCCATTATCATAGCCATCTCCTAAAAGATGTTAAGTAATAAAGAAAAGAAATAAAATAAACAATAAGCTGTTTTTTACAGGCCTAATTTGCTCAGAAGGAGATCTCTGGAAAGAACATAGAAGATTAACTTTCAACTACCTTCGACAATTTGGGGCTACCAAAGTAGGACCCAATAGAAAAAAAATGGAAAATCTCATACTGCACCATTGTTTAGATTTTACTGACGTAAATATATATTATTTTCTTAATTTCTTAAATACAATTATACACTATTTTTGCAGCATTTGAAAACAGTTGGAGAAAATACGGAAATAGATATATTTCCACCCCTACGTCACAGCTTAGGATCGGCTGTCAACGTCATTATTTTCGGAAAATCCTGGGATAGAGACGATAAACTTTGGAAGCGGTTACAATATTTTCAGGAGGTGGCTCCTAAGTATCTTGGAGTGGCTGGACCAATAAATTTTCTACCATTTTTAAGGTAAAATTATTCAAAAACAGAAAACATTTTTATAGTTTGTAGTTCTCAAAATCTAAGGCATAATTAAATGCCTTTGTACATAGAAGTAATTCTAACTATTTTCGGCTGTTACAAGTTGATACAGGATCTATTTTCATAAAAATAATGTGAAATATGGTCCGAAACACCATTCTGACTGGTCATTGCCAAGTACAAAAGCATCTCTATATTATGGAGCTGTCAGAATCCGCACTCTGCAGAGGATGCGAACAAGAAGATGAGACCATCGAGCATATCCTTTACGATTGCTCGACGCTTTCATTAATTAGAAGATTTGTGTTCGGCGAGTATCGGCTAACACCGGTCGATATAAGAGAAGCACCTCTTGGCGACGTTGTCAACTACATTAAATCTGTAGGCAGGCCCACGAGCTAGGAGGTGCCTATCATCTCAGGAGGATACACAATGGGCCTAATGAGGCCTAAGTGCCGTGGGGTAACCCACCCTCCATACGTTACTATTTTCTTGTAGGTATGAACCATTTATTTTAAAAATATATTAATTCCATTAATTTTTTTACAGATTTCTTCCAAAATACCAAAACATTATGGATTTCATTTTGAAAGGAAAAGAAGAAACTCACATAGAATATCAAAAAATTATAAACGAACAATCTTTAATACTGGATAAGCTGAATATTCAAAATGGAGTTACTAATAATGCTACAAATATTTTGCAGGGGTTTCTTGTAGAAAAACAAAATAAGAGTGCAGATGTTGCTGAAAGGCTATATAGTGATGACCAATTTTATCATCTTCTAGCGGATCTTTTTGGAGCTAGCTTAGATACAACAGTTACTACTTTAAGGTAATCTAATAGTTATAAAATTGCTGTAAAAAACAAAAGAAAAATAAAAGGGAGTCCAAATGGACATCAAAGAATAAGACATTTGTATAGTTTAATGCAGTGGTTCTCAAACTTTTTTGGTCACGGAACCTTTTTGAAAAGTGAAATATTTGATGGAGCCCTAAACACATTTAGGAAAAAAAAGCCCTCCTTGCTCTAGCCTCTTGCCAGTTCCCTCCCTTTTCTTTGCGGAGCCCCTACAACAAAATTCTCAAAATCATATACACCTTCCTCTTCTTGACTTCTAAAACTTCTAAAAAAAAAACAACTGAAAATACCAAAACTATATACTCCTTCCTCTTCCTGACCTCTATACCAAATCATATACTACCTTCCTCTTCCTCACAAAAAAGGTTCTCCAGCTAAAAATACCAAATTATATACTCCCTTCTTCTTCTTCCTCCCTTCTAAAAAAAAAGGAAAAAAAGGTCCCCTTGCCGAAAATACCAAATCATGTACTCCTTCCTCTTCCTAACTTCTAAAAAAGTCCTTTAACCCGAAATACCAAAACTCATTTACTCCTTCTAAAATATCCTCATGCCCAGTCCCGTTGTAGCGATAGGTACTGCTTATTTTCTTTGCGGAGCCCCCACAAAGGCTTTGCGGAGCCCAAGGGCTCCGCGGACCACTCTTTGAGTAACGCTGGTCTAACGAATGTCTATTGTTAAAATGCTAAACATCCTTTGGACAGTCAATATGTCCATCAATAGACTTACAGTGGACAGACAATATGTCCGTCAATAGACAGACTTAGTTTATCAGTAGTTTTAAAAGTTATACAACAATGTCTGTAATACTTTTTATTTCACTCCCGATATTCCTGAATATCTACAAAAATCATCAAGAGTATAGTCTCGTCCATATAATGATTTAGCAGATGATTATTTTCTCAGTAGAAACAGAAACTTTCTCAACAATTATCACCCAATAACTGTCCAAATCTTTGTACCTAAAACATATCTACAAACAAATGTTTGTCTTCCTTAAAAATATATATTGCAACAGACCATCAAAGTAGTTTTTCATCTCTATTTAATATTGGATTTGAAGAAATTTGTGGATGCACTTTTCTTTGATCTCTCAAAGACTTCTGTACTTGGAAGCTAGAAAATTTATAGTCATTGGTTTCTGGAGTTGACAAATTGATTTCTTGAATGTCGTATGAGGAAAAATCTTAATATATGTGACTAGTGAGTGTCATCCCTTGTTGGATAGAGTAGAGATTAAATAACATCTTCCAGTTTGGGAGCTTTAAAGTATACTGTGTTTAAAGTCTCTCTATGTGTCCATTATGTTTTGCCTTTTGATTTCTATTTTATGTTTTTATGTTTGTATTTTTTTAATAAATACGTCTTAACTAATAGGTTTGGAAGCTTTTAAGTATATTGTGTTTCAATAATAAAAGTTGTTTATTTATAGCTACGAGTGTACACATAGTCCGTATTAATTTTCTTTTATGGTATACTGTGTTTTGTAAAAAAGGACTAATTAAGATTTTACAGGTTATGTATTATTCTACATAACATTTTATGTATTGTCCTTAGCCTTGGTACCAATACTAACGACTTACCGTGACATCTATTGATTGCACTGGAAGTTTCGGAGTTCACTTTATTACACTAATCATTTTATATTACTTATATCCAGATAATACCAATTGATGCTGAATCTCAGATGATCTGATTATAAAAATTAATCTTTTATCAAAATAATTTATGATTAAGGAATAATCTGATAATAATTGGAACAAAAATCATGTGCATATATTTTTTTACAAGGACATATATTCCTCAAAATATGAATGTTTCCTTTTCGAGTTCTACAAAGATTTTAAATACCTACCTTGATAGTAATATGAGTTGGAATACCATCATTAAATACCGTTTATTGTGATCAAAACGTATGAATATATCATTATTATTATTACATTATTTTAGATGGTACTTCATGTATCTAGCAAAATACCCAACAATCCAAGATGAAATTAGAAAAGAACTTGAAGACGTACTGCAAGGTCGTCCTCCATCCATGGAAGATCTTAACCATCTCCCTTTGACAGACGCTTCTATTTTAGAAACTATGAGAATAAGACCTGTGGTACCTGTTGGCATACCACATGGTTCTTTAGAGGAAATGGAAATTGAAGGGTATAGAATTCCAAAAGGTACCATGCTGGTTCCGTTGCAATGGGCATTACATCATGATGAAACAGTATGGAAAGATCCTGAACAGTTCAATCCTAGAAGATTTATTAATGATGAAGGCAAAATCGAGAAGCCTGAGCATTTAATGCCTTTCCAAGTTGGTGAGTAAAAGAAAAATCGAGATTTTTTCCACTAAACAAAATACATTCGATCCAAAACTTAACAAAATTAACTTATTGTTAACATACAATCAAAAACTTATTTAAAATTTTAATTTAAATATTGTCAAATATTTTTCGTTAATAAATTATCTGAAAATTTTCAATGTCTCACTTGTCTTACTTAAATTTAAACTTTTATCAATCTTACCATAATAAATACGGTGTTGTTCCATTATATTTTGAACATAATTAACTTTTGAACTAGTTGAAATAACGAAATGCGCTTTTCACCAGTCTTCTTTTAATTTTTTAAAGTTTTTTCTGTATACTTGTTATTTTTTGCTCACATCCAGCTTAACCAGAAATATCATTCTATATTTTCGGAGATTGGGCGACTGTTATTTAGAATTATTTTTCTCAGTTCAATCGCCCACTGTTTCTCTTTTGGTGGTAATTATTAGAAAACAATTATTCATTATTTTTTATATGTTAATTATATTTTTTAGGCAAACGGATGTGTGTTGGTAACGAATTAGCAGGAATGTTTCTGTTCTTTTTTGGTGCTACGCTATTACAAAATTATTCTATAACTTTAAGCGATCCAAACGTGGATATGTGGGGAGAATGTGGAATTACTTTGACGCCGCAAGACCATACATTTTTGATAACACCGATAAATAAAAATGTCAAATAATGTATTAATAAATAATAAAAATTAATCAATAAAAATTGTACCTAGCCAATATTTGTAATATCGCAAGATAGTTTTTCTATTTTGTTGTGTACGGTAATTTTTTTTTTTTTACTAATAAAATGTTTTTTATTCCGCCAAACGCATTTTTACCTTTCTACACAGGATGTTATAATATTTTGGAGTTTAAGATAGTAGCAGTTCCAGTTTCTAATAATTTTTTTCCAAACAGTAGAAGATGGTGTAAAGATTTTTTATTTGACTATAAAAAAGATTATATTGCTGTAAGTAAATTTTTAATCCAACGTTTTGTGTCTAAACGACCATCATCAAGATTGTTTTTTAAATATGGACCTGTATTTTTATTTTAATTATTGGAAGTACTCCTAATCTGATTACTCAGTGTTCTTATTTCTACTTTTTCCATTTTCTTTCTTTAAAAAAAACTTAAAATTACAAATTCAAAAAACAAAGAAAAACAATAAAAAAAGCAAATTTAAAAAGCAAATGAAAAACAAAATTAATAAAAATAAACAAAATAAAAACAAAAAGAAACCAAAAAAAAATTAAGGAGTGATTCTGTTGTGGGTATTTGGTATAAAATTTTTTGAAAACCCCTCCCCAGAAAATTTACAACTTGCTGAAAATTTAAAAAAATGGTCTTTCCTTTTATTTTCCCTGTATATTAAGCTAAAGATACAAAACTTGCTAAATATTATTTATCAATAACTACACTTTTTGAAATTTTTTTCAACCCTGAAGTGTACTTAGAAGACGTTGAAATAGTCAACCCCTAAGATATTTTTTCTTGCAAACTTTTTAATAGATAAAATTTTTTCTTTAGTCAAGACGCAGATTGTTTAGGAGTACATTTAACACGATAACGAAAGCGGATATACAAAATTTTCTAATCGACAAGACAAGACAGCTATAAGAAAGAAGAACTTCTTAAAGTTTTACGGACAAAACAATTTAAAAAAGTATACGTCACAGATAGTATTCCTGAATACCATGGACTTACTGTATTGACATTTCCTCCTTATTTTTGTATTTTTAATAGGATATAAATCCACATACTTTAGTGGCGTTTATCTTACCCTTCATCAATTAAATTAAAATTTCTTCATTTTTCAGTATTGACGATTCATTTTAATTGTTTTAATTTAGAACCGAGCGTCTGGCGAGAAAAATACAAGATGCCGTATTGATGTAGAATTGACCAGTAAAATAAGTAAAAATATCAAAGTGGAAAAATGTCAGTTCCATACTACTTTTTTTGTAGAAAATATCAGATGACATGTTTGCAGAGACGCTACTGGTAGAGCAATAAAATGAATTTACCAAAATTAAAAATTATATCTAAACTATTTTCAGAGATATTAAAAAATATCTCTTCAAAAAAACAATTTTTCAACTCGCTTTAGCAAAAATTTGAAGCTGTTGGGGACATATGTTTATATGAACTTTTCTCATAAAATGACCTGAGGAATCACACCCTACAATATTAGCCAATTATGGTCCGATGTCGGTGAAATTCACACACACATAAGATTTCACATTTAAAAGTAAGCTTTGTAAGTGGCATTAAAAAAATTCAAATAGTTTGGCCGTTATAAGCAAACAATGAAATTAGGACCGCGGTGCATTTTGCCCTTCCGCCATATGCCCAATTTTGGGATTTCTCTTGCCCCCTTCTGGGAATCACTAGTCACATCCCTTAAGTTCAAAACGCATTTTTGTTTTTTCAAATATCTTAATTTTTACCAATGTTATAAAGAATTTAGTGTTTGAACATTTAACAAATTCAATTTTTCGACCTTCGTCGCCTCAAAATACTAAACAAATTTAAATCGTCCATACCGCGAGAACGGTGTATCGGATCAAAATTTCTCAAGAGACATAAAAATTAGCATTTTTCCTAAGCTTTCAAATGTCGTAAACTGCGTTTTAAAAATATTGATTTATTTCCGACATGCGCCTGCGCAAAATTGAAAAATTGACAAAATCCAAAATTTCGGCACTTTCGAAAAACTGCTACATTTTGTTTTGCCTTTTTTCGAAAAGATCACCTCAAAATACATAGAATCCATTTTGTTTCATCTAATTACAATTTAATGTAAGCTCAAAACCCGTAATTTAATTCGATTATAACAATATATTTCCACCCATACGCGGTACACTGTCATTGTCTGTTACATCTTTGACTCTCTAAGATTGTATCAGTAGATGAAAGGAAAAGAAACGATATTTGTAACTGAAAAACAGTGATTTATTTAAATTAAATATGTTAAAATTATTAAATAACAAAATAACCTTATCATAAGTCTTCAAATAATCTTAAATAAGCATAACTGATAGACGCAAAAAACTATTTACAAACTCACTTAAATGTCTACATCGAATAATTTCAAATAATTAAATTAAATACAAATTGTCATATGAAAATTAATGCACACATTTATTTTGGTAAAATCGTCAAATAAAAATACATCCAAAAGTTTAAAAACATTTTTAAATATGTAAAATAGGTAACAGTAATGAATGGATGAGATCTATTACATAATTTTTAATTAAATAATTTAAATCTTCTGTAGACATAAGCCTCGTCCACTTACGGGTAACATTCTTTTGTAATCTATTCTTCAAACCAACAAATATACATAAACAAAGAAAATATTACATTGTCTCAAAGATCCTCAACTAATCAAACAAGTAAATCATACATATTGAAGTTCGATGAGACGCCATAAAATTCAATTGAATTCCTCTGGTAAGCAATACTTACTACAAATAAAAATGATAACAAAACAAAATGGTTAGAATGGTAAAAAAAACGTAACTCTACACCGAGTGGATTTAAAATGAGATGACAATGCAGAAGTATCTAGATGCAGAATTAGATGCAATAATGCACTTAGATACCCCTTTGACAATGCTGACTAGTTAACATTCCTAATACTATGTGATAATTGAACACTTTTGCACAGCCGATCTAAATCGGAGATCTGTTGTCCTTCTTCCTCTTCTTATTCTTCTTCTCGACCAGGATCGTCTTTAATAAGTACACTGCCTGGTACATGGTACAGAATTTACTGTATGAACAGTAATAGGAAACTATTATAACCGTGCTCTCTACTGAAGAATCGTACATTACATAACAACAAATATCTCCAACATGCTTGGTAGAACCCAAACATTTTTTTTGTACTCTTTCATAGTTACCTAATGAACACTAATATGGTGAACGAAATAAATTATTTTAATGGCTACCAGCCGGCCTGATGTTGGATTCTTCAGTTTCCCAAGCCATCGGCCTTGCGGTTAACTTCACTTTGAAGGCTTTAGGACTGATTGTAACACCAGCGATGCCTTTCAAGCTTGGAAGTGTTTCTCCTTCCGGAACTGAGATGTCGAAGGAATGTAGAAGCGAGGAGAAGAAAAGGAACAACTCCATCCTAGCTAAAATTTCTCCTAGGCACATTCTCCTGCCTACTCCGAATGGGAGGAAGTATTCTGGTTTGTGGACTTTGCCTTCGGCGTTAATGAACCTCGACGGGTTGAATTTTTCTGGTTCCTCCCATAGGGAGGGGTCCATGTGCACGGCGTGGAGTAATGGGACTATTTGAGCGTGTTGTGGGAGATGGAAACCATTTAGTTTTGTGTCTCTGTAACAAAGAAATCAAATTTATTAGTTTGTCTATTTAATTATTATTTTTTGTTGAGAAGTAACTATTTTAAGAGCGTTATCCATGTACTAAAATTGTAAAAAAATTATAAACATTTGCTTTATTCCACGCACATGGGAGGGGGGTAGGGGGTCTGGCGGGTTTCGATCCAGTTTAACAAGATGGGAACCTTTCCAACTTGCGCTCAAGTACTGTGTGTGCTTCAAAGTTAACATCACCAGATGCAATGAGATAAAAAATTATAAAATATGTAATAATTGACGACAATAATATTATTAATAATAATAATATACATTTGGAACAAAATGCTGTGAGTGGCCGTTTCATATACTACTTATTTATTATCCATAATGACTATTGGGTCTGATTTGGTTCTCTAGAAATAAGCGACTTTTGTACTAAATTTTACTCTACTAAAAACTAAAACGCGCATCCGAACCCAACTTGAATATCTCTCAGAGAAACAATCCGTCAAACAAAGAGCGCGCGTCGTTGCCAAATTGGGCTGAAAGGTACTGCGTCGCATATTATTTAGCAGATTTGAGTTAGGAGCTTACTGGATAACGCTCTTAAAATTCCTAATGCCCTGTATTTAATTTATTTTATTTATTTTTATAAAATATTGATGTTTATTACATTTTTATATTCTATGTTTAACTTTGTATTGTTTTTTATGGTTCTAAACATTTTTAATTACCCATGGGTGGTCAGTAATTAATAAGTAATCGTTGTAGCCAACCCTACACTAGTTGAGAATAAGAGTGAGAGGGACTGAAAATAAGTAGTTACTCAGTAATACGAAATGGTTCAATAAAGAAAAAGATGTATTAATTTAATTAATTTTATATTTTTTCTTAATATGTTGTGAAAATCAAGTTAGATAGATTCGGATGCCTTAGCTAGATCTCAAAATAGTTTTCAAGGGTCGTATAACGATCAATATGACTTGTTAGGCATCCGATGGTTCGTATTTAAAGCCACTGCCTTTATATAACGCAAAACAGACAAAATTTATCGACTTGACTACAGCTAGTTTGAATTTTTCGATTTTTAAGCCTCCGTTACTTATGTAAGCAGCAGCGCTCGGTGCGTATATTGAACTTATTACATAAACCTCAGAAGTTATTGTCTTTCAGCGGCATTTTGCGTGCAGTTACGAAATATATTTAAGAAATCGTCTGTGAATGACCACGGTTCAACGACCGAAAAATATAAATTATTTTTAGGCCCGATATAACTTTCACTTTTTTGCGGAGAGGCGAATTTTAAACGAAGTTCCAAATTCGGTTCTGCTGACCAGTGGCGTTCGTAATGGGGATTTTCACCGAGGTCATGAAACTTTAAAAAAACTGTATTTGAAATATATGGGGTTATTCATAAAATCGCTATAAAAATTACGAAGAAAAAAGAAAAACAAAAAAAAGTATGTAGAAAATCACAAAAATAATTCCATAAAGGTAAATAATCTACAAATTTATTTTTTATACCTTTTATATACAATATTAACCAATCTTTTCGTGATTTCCTACATATTTCTTTATTTGACTGATTTTTTAAATCTAATTAGAAATTAAAATATTTTCTCTGTAATATAGTTTGGGCCACTTAGGATAATATTTGAAATATTTTTCTTTTATTACACAATAAATTGAAAAAAGTCGGTTTCAAAGAGGGATCCTGTCTACATTTAATATTTCTAGGAAGAATTTAGATTACGAAGAAAAAAGAAAAACAAATTCTTGAGGCAACGAAAAAGTATGTAGAAAATCACAAAAAGAATTCCATAAAGGTAACTAATCTACAAATTTATTTTTTTTACCTTTTATATACAATATTAACCAATCTTTTGGTGATTTTCTACATATAAAGATCAGGGCGAACAAAAACAAATGCAAGGTCGTTTCTGAAGAGGGAGTCCTGTCTACATTTATTATTTCTAGGAAGAATTTAGATTGCATCAAATGTCAATTAGAAAACTTAGGTTAGAATAAAGTTGCTGATTTATTTTAATAATCAGGGCTTTATTTGAGAATTTAATAAAATAGATACTGTCAAATAGGAACCTAATAAGCATTTAAAATCTTTTTAATGAAGATGTTGCCCCCAATCAAAAAAGTATAGAGTAAAATCTAAAATTTTAAATTGTTTGGTTATTATTTGCGCCCTTCTTCTGTCAAGCTATTTCGTGACATTTGAAAAGTCTCAGTTAAAATTATAAATGTTTAACAAGTAGCCAAAAGTTACATTTTAAAATGCCTTTAAATTTTAAAGGATTTTTAAAAAAAAAATACCCAAAAATCCTTACTATTTTTAATACACTAATACACGAACATTTTATAAGTAGCAAATTATGCGATATTATACCAAATAATTTAAAAAAAACAAATTGTATCTATTTAAAAACAGTCAAACTGTGGATATTAAAAACTGATATTTAGTAATATGGTTAAAAATGATTAAATTAATAATTATACTTCACAGTAGTATATGAAGAGTATGATAGGTATACTTTCAAGAAACCAAAATTTATTATATTGGTTCAAATTTTAAACAACTTTTAAAAATGTTCGTCCGTCCAATCTCACGTTTTTTGTCAGCACGATAACTAAAATTAAAAATGATATCAACTTGAAAATTTCAGGAAAATCAAGCTCTATAAGGAGAAAAACCTGATTTTGAAAAAAATTTGAATAAAAATGGAGGGTTGGAATATTAAAAAAATCCTAACTCAAAAACGAAAAACGATATCAACATGAAATTTTGAGTAAAAATCAAACTCTATAAGGAGATAAAGCCTTTTGATTCTGAAAAAAATCCTTATAAAAAAGGGGGGTCAAGGGGGGTTAGAATATTAAATAATCCTAACTCGTAAACAAAAAATGATATCAACTTGAAATTTTTAGCAGAAATCTAATTAAAAATAGGGGATATAAAATCTGAATAAAAATGGGAGTTAAGGAGGAGAGGTCTGTTAAACTGTAAAGAGTAAGCAATGTCTATTTTCATTTTAGTTTACTTTTTGTTATAACAAAAAAATTTATAAATATTTTCACTGATTTTTTCATATTTTTTTTATTCATATCTTGTACTATTATTACTATTATGTCTCGTATATTAAAATATATAAAACTAAAACTATTATTATACTTCTACAACTACAAAATTCAACTCCAAAGTAACCCTATTCCCTTGAAAACTTTTAAATTGCAACAAGGGTTGACTGATAGCTTATTTGAAAGGGTTTTTAATTCTCCATTCAACTGTTTGAATAATTTTAAATTTGCTTGATTGGTTTTTGACTTAAATGTGAAATATCAAATACTTAATTGATTTCTTGACAGAAGAAGTATATTTTAATTAAGTCAAATACAAATAAAATTGAATAGAAATGTAGAAATATTTTTAAATAAACTACCATTCGACTACTATTAAGCAAATTTAAAATTATTTATACCGTTAAATAGGGAATTAAAAATCCATTTAAATAAGCTATCGGTCAAGAGAGTAGCAAATCTGTGCGTGGCGTTAAAATTAGAGTAATATGCTTTATAGGAAATAAAAATCAACCTTTTTTGAGTATTTTCTCTAAAATTTCACCTTACAAATATTAGAATAGGATGTACCTATACATATTTTTAAGTTCTGTTACTAAAGGTTTCTGATTTTTTAAATAACGTAATAACAATTTAAAATTACGTCTGTATTTATAATTTTTTTTTTAATTACGGATTATTATTGTCTATAACACGTTGAGTGCCATGGTAATTTTCAGGATTTCGGTCTAAAAAGCCGTTGATATATTAAAACAATTAGTGAATTTAAAGAAATCAAAAAAGTTTTTAATGATATATTTTTTGAACTCTATTTTATTTTATTTATCTGTAAATTCATGTATGTAGTTGTATTTCAGAACCCCAGAAATTTTTTCATATAATTCCAACTTTAATAAAATATAATTTTGTTAATATTCATGTTGCCAAATATACTTAACTTAAATCATATAAATTCGCCGATGCACGCCTATGTGTTATGACCAAAAGTCTTCAAGGTCCTCGCTTTGTATATTAAAACGAGCCTTTATTTACCTACTTCAAAAAGTCGGTGAACGCGGCGATCCACTAGCCTAGCGCCATCTTATGAATATTCTAATAGGTATTGTAATTAATTTAAGCTGTAAACGATTATTTATTTCACAAATTGGTACCCGATTTATCGGTTTTAAATACACCGAGAAAACGGGTTTCTTCATATATAAACGGCTTGGTTCATTTTGTTGAAATATTTGACACAAAAAATTACTAAATTTTATAATGGATATGAATATCTACATAAACCAATGCTTTTGTTGTTCATTGCGTCATTACTAGTAATAATTTTTTAAGTTTTTAATAAATTTAAAGCCACCTTGTCTATTGGACAGGTCTGGTGAAATTACAAATAAAAAAATTAGAAATACACAAATATTATTCACCTACATATGTCAAATACAATGAAAGAATCAAATAAAAAAAATATTTATAGATTTTTAAGGTTAAAATTAATTATAATATTTTTCACCATGAGTTATGTCAAACAGGATTTGTTTCTTGAATAAATTTAAGGATGTAAAAGAGCAACATAGGTACCTTTTTTATTATCGGAACTATATATAAATACATCTTTTTCACCATAGATAACTACTTTATTTTACTATTTTATAACTAGCGGTACCAGTTTTTAATATAAGATGTAATTAAATTGATTCTTTAGAACGGAATCTTGAAAACTTTCGCTGCAGTCAACGTGTTAAAGATAAAATAGTTCATAAATTTTAAAACCTTATAAAATCAAAGAGAATTTCAAATTTCCTTATAATTAATTTAATGAATTTTATATTATGACGTTTTAATTTTTTGTTGTTTTCCCAGTTAAAAAAATCATAAAGCAAAACTTTATTAATATTATTAATATTAAGTTAAACTAATGTAGAATCTTTAAAAAATATTCACCTAATCGGAGCATGCGTCGTTCCCATTGGTACAATGCTGGATATCCTGAGCACCTCGTATATGGTAGATTCGGTAACTGGTAGGTACGTCAGATCTTCTAGTTTTGGTAACCGTTGACGACCGATCACTTGGTCTAATTCTTCCTGAACGGCCGACATCTTGTCCGGATTATGTAACATGAAGAGCACAGCCCATTGTAGTGAACTTTTGATAGTTTCCATACCAGCGGAAAATAAGTCACCCATAATTTGCTGCATTTGGCGATCTTTAACAAGAGAAAAACCTATTATGATTGTTGTTTAATTAGATATTTTAGAAAAATGCATGACGGTTCGTGGTTGTGCTAAGTGAAATAGGAATAGCATTGTTGGAATTGAAGTTACAGACATTTTTTTAAATGATACAATAGAAAATATTGTCTGAGAGTTAATAGAATGTAATAATAGTACTATTAAATGCAGAACTGTTATAGAGATAAGAAATGTAAAAGAGAGGAATCTAAATTTAGTTATTCCTTGAATGAAAAATCCAAAGATGGACCTATTGAAGGTGGTCGATATTGATTTATTTGATTTAAGATTTAAAATAGTCTCTTGACTTACCATGATCCTTTCCTTCAAACAAGTGATGTCCAGTACCCTCTTCGTCTGCTTTCTGAATTTCGTAAAGATAAGTATCGAGAAGGTCCCTCATATGACTAGGATCAAAGGATTTCCTGTGGTCGTCAATCGTTTCCTGCAGAAATCTTGCCATTTCTTCACGATTCTGAAAAAGAAAGAACGCTTTAAGTGAAAGAGTGTAAAGGAGGGAACATGGTCCAAAAATTTCCAATTCTTAAGATTCAACTATCAAAAAAGTATGATAGAATAACTGTATCTCTAACCATTAGTCAACATATTTACTTTCTTGCAAATTCTACTTTAATTTGATTCCTTTTAATCATAATTATTTAAAATTATTTTCTTACCGTGGCAATTTTCTGTCTAGTAGACGTATGTCCAGGCAAGTACCTCAAAATAGGTATGAAAATAGCAGCTTCCATCGATCCAAACAGTCTAAATCCTTCATCGATTAAATTCATGAATCTTGTAAACCTTCTGTCATCGTGAGAAAATCTCACAGACATCAGAACATCACAGATAACATTAGAAATTGATACGGCGAATACGGGATTCAAATCAACCGATTCTCCTTGTCTGGCTTTCAAGACGTGGAGAAAATCCTCGACTTCAGACATGATTCGGTTTTCCATTTGAGTTTTACGTGAGCTCAAGTAGGACATGCCAAAATGGCGGAGGCCGTCGTGCAGGAATCGCCTTTGGTCTTTCCAGAGTTTTCCAGCTATGTTTATCACACCTGCAAATAAAAAATAATAATTAAATTGGGATGAAAAAAATTTAATAGCATAAATTTAATTAGGAGTTTTAATAAATGAAAATTGTATGAAATTAATATCAAAATAAGACATAAATATGACAAAATGGTTAAATAAACATAATTAATTCAATTAGGTATTAAAATTTATATTTTTAAACTAATATAAATGTTTTTAAAAAGAAAATAATTAATTCAGAACGGGAGCGAATTTTTGACAGTTACAGGTATAGTTAAAATAAAATAGAAGAATAAATTCTCGAAGTCGTATTAGTCACAACCTTTGCTCATTTCCCTAATACCACAACACGCATTGAAAATTATTTTTAACGTTATTATAAGTAATATAATATATAAATCCACTTATTTTTTAGTAATCTATCTGAGGATGAATTTATGACATACCTTTTTGAAACACCCTGTATAAAGATTCAGTGTTGGCCAAATGTGCCTATTTCATACCTAACCAATATTTTGCATTGCCTATTAGAAATAGGTTAGGTATATTTTAGAACTAAATGAAATAAAGAGAAAGGTAGATATTTTCTTTTTTAATTCTAACAAAATTTGGTAAAGATTTCAGTAAATTTTTTGATGAATATCTAAATTGGCATAATTATTGCTTACTATAAATAGAGGGTTGAAAAAAACTTGTAAGAATTAAAAAATATATAAAGTATTTGATTTTTCAAGGTTTTTATTTAACAATATGTCAAAAATTATTAAAAAAATGCAAGCAAAAAATAAAAAAATAAAATTCTGCAAACAGAAAAAATAAAAACTAGTAAAATGAAAATAAAGTTCAAAAACCTTATGCAATGTTTTTAAAAATATATTTAAATTCAAAAATATAAATATTATTTCTCCTTAACAAAATGATAACGTATTATTTGTTAATTAGGTAGTCAAATTCAAATAAGTTTAGTTGGGAAACAAAACCTCCAAAAGGTACTTGTATATCATATCTAACATATCAACAACCGTTATATATTATTATGTGACACCTGGTAAAATTAAAAACAAATAACGTGTACCGCAAATCAATAACTGATTTAAGTTTATCAGACGCATTTTTTCTTCTTTTTTAATGATCTCAAACTGGGTTAATACTGATAGGATATCAAAGCCAGATAATGAAATGATCACTTTTACTAAAGATGTGACCTGCGAAGGCCATTTGCAAAAGTGTGTCAATCATATATAAGATTTATTTTTAGAATCTTACAATCTCACACCATTTTTAAAGCTATGCGAAGAATATTTTTTTTAAAATATTATTAGGGATTCCCCTAAATTAATTTTGTGAAAACAAGTTTGAATTAAATGAAAATTTTAGATGTAAAATAAATGTTATCACAATGGCATTTAATTTTATTTATTTTGCTTCACATTTTAGAATATACAAATGACAAATTAATCAAATAATAAATGAAAAAATATTTATAACATATAACATAGTGTATAAAAAAAAAAAAAAATTATATATTTTTTATAATATAATAAAAAGAGGAAGAAGAAAATTGATTTATAAAAAAGAATAAAACTAAAAAATTAAGATTACAAATGATATCAAAAATGATGAGTTTGATTAAAAGTAAAACTTTAAATAAAGATGTATTTAATATATACAGTATGGTTCAAATGAAAGGAATAAATTCATTATAATGGAAGTAGTTGGTTTTCCGAAAAAATGCTCAATGCTCAATTTTGTTTACTTAAAGCACAATTTTTTAAATAGAATTCAATTTTTCCCCACTTCCCATTTTTGGGCAGTGACGTCATTGGCAATTTTTTTAAATAGTAACTTCAATTTTTTTTCTTGATTTTGATAGATCTTGCAATTTCCTACTCGGAAACATAATATTTGAAATATCTTACATAACAATTTTTTTTGAACAAAAGTCATTTACAGATCAGACACAAATTTTATTTTATTTTGAGAATACAATAAATGAATAAAAGATAATTATTTGTAATTAAGTGCTTAATCTAACAAAATAATAATAATAATAATAAATAATAATAAAGAATTTGTGAAATTGTCATTAAATTCTTTTTCATTATTATTATTATTATTATTATTATTATTATTATTATTATTATTATTATTATTATTATTATTATTATTATTATTATTATTATTATTATTATTATTATTATTATTATTATTATTATTATTATTATTATTATTATTATTATTATTATTATTATTATTATTATTATTATTATTATTATTATTATTATTATTATTATTATTATTATTATTATTATTATTATTATTATTATTATTATTATTATTATTATTATTATTATTATTATTATTATTATTAATATTATTATTATTTTGTTAGATTAAGCACTTAATTACAAATAATTATCTTTTATTCATTTATTGTGTTCTCAAAATAAAATAAAATTTATGTGTCTGATCTTTAAATGACTTTTATTCAAAAAAAAATGTTATGTAAGATATTTCAAATATTATGTTTCCGAGTAGGAAATTGCAAGATCTATCAAAATCAAGAAAAAAAAACTGGGGTTACTATTTTAAAAAATTGTCAATGAGTCACTGCCCAAAAATGGGAAGTGGGGAAAAATTTAATTCTATTTAAAAAATTGCGCTTTAAGTAAACAAAATTGACCTGTCCGAGCATTTTTTCGAAAAACCATTTCCTTTATAATGAATTTATTCCTTTCATTTGAACCATACTGTATATCTATTATATCTATCGTATTTTGCTTCATATTTCAGAATATACAAATGAAAAATTAATCATGTAATAAATAAAAAAATATTTATAGATTATTTTAATAAAATAACTGATACTAATAATGAAAGAAAAAAAAGATTTATATTGGTAATATTAAATATCTACTGAAATTTTTATTGCACATTTTTTTTATTATTTTTAAATGGCATTTATTAATTTTAATTGTATTATATATTTATCGTTTTTCAGAATGTACAAATGACAAATCAAAAAATAAAAAATATATTGATAAAAACGTTTATGTAAGATAAAATTCTTTCTCAATTTTTTATGCCAATTATTTTTTTTGCATCTTCAAATGATTCATAATTAGGTATATCGAGATTAAATCTCCATTACTTCATTAACATAACTGCATCAAAGTGTTCCATTAGGAGCAATCAACTATAATTAGTTCAACAATAATTACTTAATGTAGTTGAGGTTTAACTCAAGGTCATTATCAAATCCTTGTTAGTAAACAAATACTTTTCAATTTACTTTTTTATATAATTCTATGAAGAAAATTGATTAAATGGAATAAATGGTTTATTATTTTTGTTAAATAATTAATAAATGATAATATTTATGTAATTTTTCTGGTGTATAATTCAAAATCTGTTATTTGAATAATATTAGTCTGTTATTTCAAGTATTTTGAAATAATTAAATAATTAGGTACTGGTTTTAAATAATTTTAAATACATTACGAAATGTATTTTATTTATGTTATTCCTATATGGTTTTAATATCGTTGTGAAACAAATTTAAATTTTTGCTACTTGTTTGTTATTATTTAGCAGAGTTACACAAAATTAATGATTGATTCACTAACCAAAATTAGACCTATTGGTAAACGAAATTTTTTTTTTTTAATTTTTGAAAATTATCAAAAGTTTTTTTCTGATATTTATATTTAGAGAAGGGTATTTTTTCAAAATGGAAGATATGAAAAATGGCGTCTGAAAAATGTGTAGGTATCTTTAATTCATATTCTAAATAATTTTTGATTAGATGGGCCATACTTATTTTAATTAAATTAGAGAGCATACGCTTCTTTATTTATTCATAATTTTTTTAATAAGTCTCATATCTGTGTTAAAAGTTTCTTAAAATTAGGTCAAATCTGATACATGTTTAGAGTTATAAAAATTAATGATTGAATCCTTATCTATAATTAAATCTATTTTTTACAAATATTCAAAATGAACGAAATTCATTTTTTTGTAAAAATTGAATAAAATTACTTTTTAAAAAATAATTAAATGTTGAGTTTTATTATTACAAAATATGGTTTAATTATATAGATTAAAAAAATTGATTATATAAAAAATATAAAATAATTAAAATTTTTGACATTTGTAATTCAAAAGAATATTTTGTCAATTGTAAACATTCAAATTTTTTAGGGTATTACTTTGATATAAATAAAAAAATAATTACATAAAAAAAATAAAATAATTTGACATTTCTGATTCAAAAAATATTTCGTCAATTGTTTAGTTTTTTAGGATACCACTTTTATTTAAAAAAGAAAAATTGAATTTATAAAAAATATACAAAATTTGAATATTTGACATTAATATTTTGTAATCTGTAAACATTCAGTTTTTTAGGGTTGGCACCACTTTTATAGAAATAAAAAAATTATATTTTAAAAAAATATACAATAATTTTAATTTTTGACAATTATTATTAAAAAATATTGTGTCATTTGTAAACATTCAGTTTTTTAAGGTACCACTTTTATATAAATAAAATGATTATATAAAATATACACAATAACTTAGAATTTTTGATTTCCAAAAACATTTCCTATTTTTAAAATTATTATTTTATCAAATTGGTGATTATTTATATATAATTTTTGAAACTAAAAACTCACCATAGCCTCCCAAAATATTAGTAAACTCAGTGTGCGGTCTACCAGTAAAATCCTCTTTTCTAAAAGTGTCTCTAATCATTTTATAGTCACTCAAAACAACGATCAGCTGCGATCCCAGCCTAGTCGAAATCAGCGATCCATATTTCTGGGTCAAATCCCTGTAATGCAAGTGAAGGTCGCCCTTCAAAAACGGAAGCGATCCCAAAATCGGAAGCCCCCAAGGTCCTGGGGGTAGTGAAAAAGCCTCTTTCAACTTTTGTAGACCGCGAACCACAAACAGAACCGTGATGAATACTAGAAGAACTTTCGTTGAAAACTCCTTCACCGCGTAATTATAAAGCACCATCGTACTATACACGAACATTTTAATTTTTTTTTTAAAGTCTTTATTTGAAGGTTGGGAAAAAATCGCGATGTATTATAAACTGAAGAAATACAGTGTTATCTACAGAACCGTCATTATAAGCAATGCTTTTATAGATCAGACTTCAACTTACTTAAAGACAGCGTGTGGGGAGGGATTAGTAAGGAGGAGCGATAGTCTTCGCCAATGGGAAGGGAGATTCTGTCTCCCACCATTCGATAGTAAGGAGATGCATTTCATTCATAATTTCTTCAGTTGGTCAAGGAAGGTTGAGGAAGGATGTGTATCAGTGCTTCGGATGAAATTCATGTAGATTACGATGAATCGGTGAAAGAATATGATGATAAAGTTTCAAGATCAAGTTCGTTTCTAAATTGGATTTTAATTTGGTTTTGTGGGTTTTGGTCTCTATTTTTTTAGTTGAATCAGGTCAAACTGTATTTACTTTTTATTTATATGAATGTTTTTGATTTTGTTTTCAATTTCATTTATATTTTATTGTATAGTAAAAAGAATACAGTTATCTGACGTATCTTCAGTTAAGTTTTAATAATTTTGTGTATATGTTTTTTATTAATTTGTTTAGTAGTATTTTGAATAGATAAATATTAGTAATTCTAAATTTGTCTTTTCTGAATACGAATCACATACATTTTCACTGTCAATAGGTTTAAGGATAATTTAGACATGACGGTATTAAGTACATTCGTTAAATATTGATATTTTCTTTAACTTTAACAGATATGTAAATTAAAATTTAACAGAGTACCTACTGATTATTTAGTATAAAAATGACAGTAACATAATAGTTTGACAAACGTATCTAGTGGAGATCATGCCTATAAAACTAGAGATATTCCAATATAAATAATCAGCAATAATAATTAATATACAGGGTGTCCCAATAGTGTGTGGAAGTTCGATATTATCCTATATTATAGAAAATATCAAGCAATGTTATTTACAAAAGTTGTAGATAATGTTATAATGTAGATAATAACTTCAGAATTGATCAAACCTATGTTTTTTTTAATGGACCACCCTGTATTTAATTGTAAATTTGAATTACCCTTACTTTGCCCTCCAAGAAAATACCAACATGTTTGAGGTTATACTGGGTATTTTAAAAGTACCTATAAACCAATTTTATATGAAAATCGTACTAGGTTCAACCCTCTGTATATTTCAAAAGAAACAATCGGCCGTCTCAAAAGTGTGTTTGGTACATCAACTTTATTCTTCTTTTTTTTAACAATGGGAGGAATATTATCATCGGAGCCACATTCACTTAAAGGAGATTTTGATAGGCTATAACTTCTTCCTGGCTATTATCATCAGAGCTGTTGTACTGTGCGTCACTATCATCATCATTTTCTGTAGCAACTATTATTCCATAGTAGAATTTTCCACCATTGTCCATTTTTACTTTTTTATTTTTTTCTAACCGGTTTGATCCATCAATAAGAGACAATTATTTAATTGCAACAACATTTTCTGTTCCATATTCCCATTTAATTAAAACATCCATGATTATTAATTAGTTATCTGAAACAAATAATAATTACAGTTAACTACCTACATAATACAAAATTTTTTTTTTCTCCTTGATGAGTGCTCCGCTAAATAGTATATTGTATTCCTAGGAAGTAAAGTGCTTTTTCAGGCCTCCAGAAGTGACTCGACGCAGTGGTTTACACATAATTTTTATCCTACACAATAAGTGTTTTCAAAAACTATAAACGTCTAATCTCCGTTGGACTTGTATTATGGATAAATAAAATACGTGTTGCACTTGGGGACTGCCACGGTAAAGCTATTGCATAGCATTTTTTATCAACTTATGCAATTATAATTATTTATTTATTTTATTTATGCAGAATGTTTTTTCTTTGATATTAATTCAAGTTTTTTCTTTGATATTAATTCAAGTTACACTTTTTGAGCGTGGTGACCGATAAGAAATAGTATATTGTTTCACGAGTGACGAAAATAACATTTTTTGAAGCGAGAGAACAATTTACCAACCGAGGTGAAGCCGAGGTTGGTAATGTTCGCGAGCTTCAAAAAATGATTTTCGACGAGTAAAACACTATTCTTTTTCTACGAACTCTATTATGTCATGTAGGTACCTACTAAAATGAAAAAAAAACAAACGTTAGCAAATGCTTTATTTTGTGTTAGAAATAACAAAAAATTAACCAACAATTAAATATTTCAGAAATATTATTTATTATTTAAATATTGATTTATTGTTATATTTGAACAATTGTTCAAAATTATGGGGGTATCACACTCAAGCTTTTTATTTATTGAGGTAGATGCCGACATATTTGTTCTACTGTTAAATGTCATTTCAGATGATGCGCCATAATCGGATGAACTAGTAGTTTCCTTATTTTGTACAGATTGTAAAATTTTGGTTTGTATTTGGTTTTTACTGTTCGTGGATTCATCAACATATCCTTCCGCAACACTACTAGATTTCCAACCACCGTGCTTTTTTAACAGAAGCAAGTCACCTCCTGCATCTACTAATAGCGTTGCGGATGTTCTGCGGAAACAGTGCCCAGTGTAATCTTGAGGATTCGGAAGCGTTAAAAACTGAGCAATTTCGTTAGGAAATTTACTGATTTTATTAAGTCCAACAACCTGTCTGCTACACTTTCCATTCTGATAGTTAATAAAGAATCTTGAATTAATTTGATCCATGTTTGCGGGACGTAGGCTCATATATTTTTTAGAAATATCATAAAAGGGTCCAGAAATATGAAAAGAACGCGGAACTTTTGTATTACGGATTTTAACAGAATACTTCCAGTATCCTTTACATCGCTTATTGTTAAATCTTTTAGTTCGTGGCAACGACAAGCGCCAGATAATCCAAAAACTAATGCTACCTACAAATATTAGTAGTTATGTATTAAGTATTTGTTAAAATAAAAATAATAATTCCGTTACCTTTGTTATTAAATATTTATAGTCAGGTGCATTCTTTAGGAAAGTCTTTATGTCTTCAGGCGAAAAATTTTTGGATTTTTGACTTTTAAAACCATCAGATTTTCTTTTCAAAAGCGAACGTAACTTTGGATATTTACTAATATCGACATCATTTTTAACAGAGAGTGTAGTTCTGGTGTAGTTCTTAGCATCGAATAAATGGACCATAACGTCGACGGTTTAAAATTTGAACATATTTCTCCAAAGTATGCTAGTAGTACAGTTTCCGAAAATGATTTCACTTTATTTTTTTCTCTTCAGTCCAAAAATTTGATATAAATTTCTTCATATCTCTTTTTTGATTTGGCCGGTAATAAATCTGAAGAGGTTTCTTCAGCTTTAAAAATAATTTCTGGGGGAGTACAATCGCTTTCTGACTCAGACATCATGAAAATGTGTTAAATTTAGGACGAACTGAAACGGACAGTTCTCAAAAGTGATAAAACTTCAAATATACAAATGAAAACCAGGAAATAGTATGAGAGACCACTGCAAATTTTGACCGTCATCTGATAACGAAATAAAATATGCTCCAAAGCCATGTAACAACATTGTACTTTACCAAATTGCACCTGTGCCAATCCCTATCCTGAGCAAAGTGGCTAAAAAAAAATATTTTATATTCAAAAAATCACATAAGACATGACAGCGACAATTGTGTTTTCCCTGAAAATAACAATCCTAATTCATTGTAAACCTAGCTTTTAAACCTGAATTATTAATATTTGTACCTACCTTTTAAACCATATTTATATATAAAAGGAAGAAGGATGGCATTGTATAAATCATTTGCAGAGATAGTCAATAATAATTATAAACTCTTGTCAGACAATTATTTTAAACCATAATCATAGTAGTTTTTTGTCGTTTCTATGGCAACCTGTAAAAATGAATCACAACAATAGGCATACAAATAAATTTTTAAACCAGCAAACATTGATTCATATTTTTAATGATTTTTACCTAATAATCGTGGATAGATGTTTTTGTGCAATATGAAGAGGAAGAAAATGTTTCCCTTTAACGATATACCGGGTGTCCCAGATTTTTTTGCCCAGCGGATATCTCGGTTATTTAATGATATAAAATTGTAAAAAAAAATATGAATAATATTTGTCTAGTAGCCTTTTAAATTCCACTACATAAAGTTATATTCATCAATCCACCCCATAGGAACAACCCCTAACTTTTTTTTTTCAAATGTCACCCCTATATTTTTTTTCGCTGATATAAATACTCAATTTGTCCCGAATGCAACGATATGATATTTGATATACTTTACAGAGTCATAAAGCCGGTAAAGACTAAAAACCAATGTTGTGGTTAAAGTCATTAATTTTGTATCACCTGGTATTTTCTTTTTATTTTGATTAGAATTGCTTCGTTTTTGTTTTTTTTTTGTTACCTATAACTAACTAACAATATGCTTAGACCATTTCTGAAATTGTTCGCTAGCTATAAACAACAGACAAAATGCCCTTTACATTCACTCCAAACGAATATGTTGATATGCTTTTAATTTTTGGTGAGTGCCAAAAAAATTCTCGTGCTGCTGTACACTTGTATCAACAGAGGTTTCCTGAGCGCCGACAACCATCACGTAAAACATATTCTTATGTTGAGACTAGGATGAGAGAAGGGTCATTTCCAGGAAAAGACAAACATCGTCAACATGCTGCTGCTGTAAGAACTGAAGAAATGTGCATTAATGTATTAGCTTATGTGCAAGTACATCCCCAGATATCGACGCGAAACCTAGCTAACGAGGTTCATATTAGTAAGTCGTCAGTACAAAGAATCCTAAAATCCTATAATTTTCATCCGTTTAAAATTCATTTGCATCAGGAACTTAGAGCTGGAGATTTCGAAAGAAGGATAACATTAATAGCACATTTTGAAGATTTAATGGAACGAAATCCCAACATTTTGAACCAGATATTGTGGAGTGACGAATCAAGGTTTCACAATAATGCTACTGTAAATCGTCACAATATGCATTATTGGTCTCCTGAAAACCCTCACTGGGTTAGGGAAACTAACTTTCAGACCATCTGGGGAGTAAATGTGTGGTGTGGATTATTTCAGGGACGACTGATA